AGTGAAGGACAGGAAGGCCTGGCGCAATATGGTTCATGGGGTCACAAAGAGTCGGACACGACTTAACGACTGAACAACAACAAAAGCTATATCATGGAAAATATAAGTACTAAGAGCTACTGTAGTGCTTTAAGATATCATCGTTATGTTCCATTAAGATGGGCTCACGATGGCACTATGGCCATAGAGAAGGAATATGTCCAATTCATAAAATGGCTAACAAAATGACATGGCCAGTCATTTAACAAAAATGCCATGGCTCATGGAGCCTAGAAGGTGCCAAGGGAGAAGGTCACATGGTTGACCACAAGCACCACTGTGAGGATCCAGTTCTATCTGAAAAGGATTTAAGCCAAGCATCTGAAACACCACTGGTTGTATCAAGCCCTTCATCTGAAAGTACAACTTCTTTGTACCCGAAGTCCTACTGTAAATATATCTACAAAAGCATTTTGATGGGTACAGAAGGCAAAAAGTGATTATGAATATACTAAACAATGTAAAGCTGCAATACAAAAAGAGCCTGGCTTCGTAAAGAGCTACCATTTGCATATAACATTACAGTATTACAAGACTATATCATCCCAAAAAGAGAATAATAAAATGTAAATGCTTAGTCAAATTATCTGTTATTGCTTACCTGACACACTACTGCCTGAAGCATAGCATCAAAGCCTCCTTCGGGTGTATCAATATTTCCAGAGATTTTCTGCTTATTAATTACACTCCTGAATTCTGGTATTTTGTCAGTCAGTGATAAAACATGAATAAAACCATGAGGTGGCATACAATCTAGCTCATAATCACTGTTTGGAATCAAAGAGAAGTAACTTGTAACTCCCACACAGAACTTTTAAACCAGTTGAATCTGGCAATGTAGCACAACAAATACAGATTTATAACTTTACATTGGTAATTTCTAGGCTTAAGAAGCTGAGATAGGAATCTCTGTCTTCTCATAGGCTTATTATTATTTATTATTATTAATAATAATAATTAATTATTAATCCCTTTATACATGCTGGCAATTAAGAAGTCTACCATTAATTCAAATTTTTAATTATGTTTTGGTTAATGTTTTCAGAACAAACCAACCTATTTCAGAAAAAAATCAACTTTTAACTATTTTGTTGGGATATGTAACTCCGAAGGATATGTAAGACTGTAAGTGCTGATTAATTATATTTGGTGGCACAGTCTCTAAAAAATATCAAAGAAGTAGACAATTAAAAAAATATCTCTATTTTTACTTTCATTGAAAGTATAATATAATAGCCACAGAAAACCACAGAAAATTGTGACTCTTATGCAGGAGGAAGCTGGCCTCTCAAATCCACCTGTAATTTTCTGCCTCAGAAGTGACTTAAATAAATGGGAAAGATGCTATCTATACAGAAAAAAATGCAAATATTTTTTCCTTAAAAAATGATTAATAAAAAAAGAATTAAAAAAAATGCAGCCACCCTCTCTAGCATAAGTAATAATTAATGTCATTTCCATTCTCCTGCCAGTAGCCTACTGCCAAACATAAAAGTAAATCTGAAAAATCAAAGTAAATCTGAAATACTTTTAGAACTATGGGGCACATTAAGTTTGTTTTCAATTGTTTTATTTTGTTATAGAAAAGGAGGAAAAACATTAGAAATTAGAATTATAATTAAATGCACTTTTTAAACTTGTAGAATTTTAGTAGTATGAAACAGGCGCATCCAAAGAGTATGGAATAAAGGCAGTTAATGCTGCCATTAAAGTGTCTGGGTCTTTTATGCACATCATTCAAGCAATGTACATAAACAGCAGGCAGAGCTTTGATTGCCCCATTGCAGTTGCCATCTTGACTATTTTGACCATACCCTACAGACAGACCTGGAAATCTCAATCTCACAATTTTGGGCTCTAACAAAATACATTCCCAGCCTTATCCATAGTACTAGAGTAATCAGCTATCAAAGGCTTCATATTATAGTTATGATAATACAGTACATATTTATCTAAGTCTTGTAGCAGATAAAGCTAATGTAAATGCATGTTCACTCATCTGTTACTCTGCTCTTCCAAAAGAGAGTTAGATATTGAATGCATAGATTTGTGCCCATGAATGTTCACACATACTCTTTCCTTTGAGTTATATGCATCTATTTTTAACATTACTCACCTGCACTGATTATGGATTCTTTTTGGGTGAATACTAATATAAGGGGACACTGTTTTATCTACATAGGATCCAAATCCAAGTCGTAAATCAATGGAAATATTTTCCATCTTTTGAGATAATTCAAATCCAACAGAGTTTAATCGTTCTATATGCCTGTGCATAGATGCAGACACATCAACCAAATAATAGAGATCCACAGGATACTTTTCCAGTGGGCGGACTTTCAGCATAAAACTTGCTTCAGATCCTAATATGCAAAAAGCAGAACTGCAATCAATACTTCTGAAAATTCAAATTATTTTAAAACCAAATCCTGTGCAGAATATTTTTCCACAACTAGCTTAATTTAGTTTAGCTTTTAAAACTGTAATTAAGCATTAAGTGTGTGTGTGTGTGTGTGTGTGTGTGTGTGTGTATGTATCTAAAATCCTTCTCCAGCCATTCCATTTCCTATGCTTTTTCCATTATCTGTAATATCCTTAGGGGCAAGAAACAGTTTAGCTGAAAAATTATATGTATCATCAAGTATAGCAACAGTTTGGATCTCAGATGTATATTTACAAAAACTTCTCAATCCTTGAACAAATACAAACAAAATTCTT